TTATCCTCTTCCTCCTCCTCCTCCTCCTCCTCCTCCCCTTCCTTCTTTTTCTTTTTTCTCTTCTGGTACTGGGGATTGAGCCCTGGGTTTTCACACTGAGCTACACCACCAGCCCCTTTTACAGTTTTTATTCTTTGAGACAAGTTCTCACTAAGTTGCCCAGGCTGAGTTTGAACTTGCAATCCTGCTGCTTCAGCTTTCTGGGTACCTGGGATGATAAGTATGAACTACCTTGCCCAGGTTGGCACCTCATCTTCTACTGGCCCATCTACAAAGGGCATTCCTGGACTCACATGCTTGCCAAAGAGGGCTTTGCTTCTGTCCGGCAGGATACAACCATTGAAACTTGTCCTGCAGCCTGTTGGGATGAACCAGGTGCATGCTGGGGTAAGGGGATACTCTGAATCTCAGTGGCCTGGGTGTCCCAGTCTATCCCACAACTTGATAGCTATATGACCTTAAGCAAGTCACCTCGCCATTCTAGTTTGATTATTTGTACAGTGGGGGACAGTAATGCCTGCCTTGCAGTCTGATCGAAAAGATTCAATTAGGAAATATGCCACCTCTAGCAGGGTATGGTACCATACACCTGTAATCCCAGGACTCAGGAAGCTGAGGCAGGAAGATTATGAATTCAAGGGCAACCTGGGCTACATAGTGAGATGTCTCAACAAAACAAAATAACACACACACACACACACACACACACACACACACACACACACGAAAAAGGAAAAGTAAAAGAAAAGAAAAAAGAAAGGAAAGGAAACCTACAACCTTCAGCACAGTGCCTGGTACCCAACAGATGTGTGCTAAATGATAACTCTACCACAGGGCCTTCTGTCACCCTGTGTGTCCCTTGGCATGGTAGTGATGCTTCTACCTATCACTGGGACCTCTGCAACAAAATGACAGCCAAGCTGTAATGGTTTATGTCTAGATGTTCCCCTGCAAAGCCTCATGAACTCCTGGGTGTGCCTTTGGGGAAGTTACTGGATCATGGGTGCGTGCCTTTGGGGCAGTTACTGGGTCATGGATGTGAGGTACTGGATTAGATCACTGATGGGTTTACAGCTGCCTGTGATGTTGGGAGGTGAAGCCTGATGGTAGGAGGGTCTCTCTGGGCGTGGCCTGACATCCTTGCTCTCCTGATGGCTTGATGCTTCTTGTCCTCCATGCCACAGACTGTTTTTCCTCTGCCACGGCCCTCTGCCACGCTGTAGTGGCTTGGAGCCAGCCAGCTAGGGACTGAAACCTCCACAAACTGTGAGCTGAAGTGAACTCTTCTTCCTTTAATTTGTGGGTGCCGGGTATTTTGTCCCAGCGATGGGGAAGTAGCTAAGATAAGCACTGGCCATGAGGCCAAGCACGTTAGATGACTTGGAGTCCCACAAACCTTGGTGTAAGTTCCAACTTTGGGTAACTCTGCTTATTGATGAATCCTTGGAGACTAAGGGGGAACTTGGCTGCCTTCCTGGGCCTCAGTTTCTCTATCTGTATGTTTCAAGATGGAGGGCACTTCACTGCCCATCTGTTCATTCTATTTTTAGGCCCAAGAATAGTGCTTGGCATATAACTGAGTCCTAAAGTTGGGTTTGTTTAAAATTAATGAATGAATGGATGAATAACAGCTTACTTTGTTCAAGCTGCTATAACAAAATACCTTAGGAATGTATTTCTTACAGTTCTGGGGCTGGGATGTTTAAGATCAAGGGCCAGCAGATTCAGTGTCTGGTGAGAGCTTCTCTCTGCTCCAAGGATGACCTTTCTTGCTGTGTCCTCATGTTGTGGAAGTTTCTGTAGTGGCTTCAACCTCTTCTGTGTGTGTGTGTGTGTGTGTGTGTATGTGTGTGTTTGTGCGTGTACCTAGGAATTGAACCCAGGGCTTCACACTGAGCAACATCCCCAGCCCTTTTTCCTTTTGTTGTTTATGTTGAGATGGGCTTGCCAGGTTGCCCAGGCTTGGGCTTGAACTTGTGATCCTCCTGCTTCAGCCTCTAGAACAGATAGGATTTCAGGTATGTACCATCATGACTGGTGTGCACCAATCTTTTTTATATGGATATTAATCCCAGTGTTGAGGGGGGACCCCTCATGACACAGTCTCCTCCCAAAGGCCTCACCTCTTAATGCTATTGCATTGGGCAATAAGTTTCAACATATGAATTTCAGGGCACACCGACATTCAGATCATAGCAGCCTATTTTGCAGAATGGTTGGGAAACTCAAATTGTCGTCAAAAACATGTAAATTGCCTGGCATTGTATTGGCTCATGTTTCTTTGGTTCTCTCCTTTCCTTTTCTTTTCTTTTTCCCTCTTTTCTTGAATTATCATTTTCTTTCATTTGAATCCTGCCTCTCCTTCCAGCCTCCATCTTTCCAGAGAGCAACCAAACTGTCCTTGGCTGATGACTCCACCTGGTGGTCAGAATGGAGAATGCTGACGGGACCTCCCTCAGCTCCTTCCTCCGCTCACAGATAATAATCTGCCTCCACTTCTCTCTCACTCTTGCACCATAGGCAATTCTAGCTACTGTTCTCATGTGCCCAGCTCAAACCCTACCTTCTTGTACCTTGTCCTCCTTACAGCAGGAGGGGGAAAGGGATTCAAGCAGCCTGTGGGTGAGCAGTGGGCTGGGGTCTTGGCACCAGTTTAAACAGGAGGTGTCTCTCTAGTCATGCCAGCTTCAGCTTACTGCTCTGTCCACTGTCTGGAAGATAGGGTGAGGAGAGCAACAGGGGACAAGCCTCAGAGGTGACAGGGGGCCATTGCCTCCTTGCCCAGGCTGACACCCAGACTTGGAGGACACAGAAGGATCCTGCTCTCTGTGATCCCTCAGCGCTCAGCACCAGTCTCTGGGTGGGAACTCAGGCTGGGGCCATGGGGTTTGCAGGCCTGGCAGCCTTGCAGCTTCTTGCCCCATCCTAGGAGGTGACTCAAGGGATGCGAATTTAGGCTGCAGATGGAGAAATTATTGGTATGATGGCACCATCCCCTCCATGTACCTGAGAAGAATCCTGAAGGAGTTTGTTAAGAACACAGATTCTCCAAGAGCTACGGATATAGCAGACCCAGTTGGCTGAGGGAAGCTGTAGAGAGCAAGTTTAATGAAGGAAAGCTGCCTTTCTGAGCCACATTTTCCTCCTTTCCAAAACATTGATAATATGACTTACGAAGGTTAGCAGGAGGAAGAACAATCAAGATTGTAATCTAACCCAGTTAGAGTCCTCCTCTGTTTTCTTCCCAGTACCACTGCTCCTGCTGCTATCATAATCTGCTTATGTTAGTTAGCTTGTTGTCACTGTGACAAAACACCCTAGACAATCAACTTACAAGTAGGAAAGATTTATTATGGGTCATGGTTTCTGTCCACTTCAGCCGGCTCTGTTGCTTTCTGGCTCATGAAGAGGCAGAACATCTTGGTGGGGAGGACATGGTCCAGCAAATCTGCTCACCTCATTGGTGGCCAGGAAGCAAAAAGACAGACAGGAATTGGCCAGTACCCTAACGTCCTTTCAAAGGCTTGCCCTCAGTGATCTAACTCCTTCTACTAGGCCCCATGTCCTGAAGGTTCCACCACCTCCCGAGAGCACCACCTGCTCGGAACCAAGCCTTCAACAACACAAGCCTTTGGGGGACTATTAAGATCTTAAACATAACACCCCTTACCTGTGGTTTTGCTTGCTGTGGTTACCCGCACTCAACTATAGTCCAAAAACATTAAATGGAAAATTCCCAAATAATCAACTCGTAAGTTTTAAATTGGAGATCATTCTGAGTAGGACAATGAAACCTCACTCTGCCCTGCTCCATCCAGCTCCAGACATGATTCCTCCCTTTGCCCAAGGCATCCACCCTGTATGTGCTCCCCTCTCATTAGTCAGTAGCCATCTCCATTATCACTTGTGGTATCATGAGGCAAGTAGCCCTTATTTTACTCAATTCAGTCATTGTTCTATTTTATTATTATTGTTAATAGCTTCCTGTACCTAATTTATAAATTAATTTTACTGTGGGTCTGTGTATGTAGAAAAAAATACAGTATACATATAGAGTGTTCCATATTATCTGGGGCTTCAGGCATACTGGAGATCTTGGAATGTTTCCTCTCAGGATAAGATGGGGCTCTGTATTTCGATCGCTTACACGGGGTGTCATGCTCGGAGGCAGGTGACACCTTAGAGACTTACCTGTATGGGATGGGTGGGGCAAGGCCCTGGAGCTTCCTGGTATGAGGCCAGAGCCCCAGAGCCCAGGACTTTCAGGAATGACAGGGTCTCCAGGGACTTAGACGCCTGCCCTCTAACTGGTTCCAGCTCACCCACAGGCCTGGGATGCCTGGGGAACCAGAGACCTTCAGAGCCACGAAGCCTGGTCCTTGCCTGTTGGAGTGGACAGGGCCAGCCTGAAAAGGGTCCCAGACTCGTAGCCAGACCCTCAGACTCCTCCTTCTAAGAATTATTTTTAGAATATTTGTACTCTGTGTGGTCCTGTGAGTCGGAAGAGATGTTTCTGGCTCTTAATAAGAACACCTCTGTATCTCCCTGGCTCCACCAGCCTGGTGAGAATAGTCCAGCTGTTCTGTTTTTTCCACTAATAAACAAGGTGAAGACAGTTAACCTTTGGCCGTGGGACAGGAAGTAGATTTGTTTGCAGTGTGTATGCCAGGCTGCGCAGGTGGGTGACTCCCCTACCTCTGTTGTACATATCGGATCAGTGACTCTGAAGTGATGTTAAATATTAATTGCACACAGATAAGAACACCATCATTTGTCACCATGCCCCCGGTAGTGGAAGGGGTGGGAAGACAAAGCAAGCATAGCTGAGTACAGAAAAAGGACATTGTGTACTCCAGGAAGGGCCATGCTTAGGCAATTGGAGTTTGATCTTGTTTCTCAGAAACGAGGGGCAATAAGGTGACCAGGGAGCCCTCGTCTTTCAGGGATCTATAAGGATCCCCCATTTTTAGGCCCCATCAGTCACATTCTCTAATAGTCCCAACAGCTGTGGAAAGGTTCTTCTTTTGATGAGGACCAAGAGCCTAGATCTGAACATCGACTCTGCTGTGGCCTGTGAAGTGGGACCAGGCCTGTGTCCCTCCCTCTCTCTGGGCCTCGGTTTTCTCCGCTAAGGGTCATCTGAGATGCAAAGAGAGGACGATGCGGCTTTCAGAAAGCACAGAAGAGGGTGCCTCTCCTTCCAGGGGCAGACTCAGGCTGGCCTGGGGGGTGGGCGTGGCAGGAGGCAGGAGAGCCAGAGTCCTCCGAGGTGGCTACAGTCAAAACAGCTTCTGCTTGCAACAGGCAGGGTCAGAGCTCCGCCCCATCTGTCTCTCTACCCAGTTTCCAGAGGGCTCTGCAGCTTCTCCCTTTGCCCGCCCTGGGCTGTCCGGCCCTTGGCTTGACCTGAAGCAATCCTGAGGCAGCCGGATCCTCTGTGCCCTGGAGAAAATGCTCAGGGAATCAGAAGCCAGCTCACACCGACGGAGTCAGCTCACACCGACGGAATCACTCCTTGCACAGCCAGATCAATAAACACAGGAAGCAGCCATGTTTTGGGGGCACCGCCCATGTGCCAGACGTTGTTAAGCACGTGATAAACATTAATTTCACTCTCACCACAACCCCATGAGATAGGTGTCACTGTCCCCCTTTTGCAAATGAGGAAACTGAGGTTCTGAGTAGTGATTCATTCGGTTGCAGTCACAGCCCTGGTAAGCGGTGAGGCTGGAACTTGAACCCAGATGGACTGGACACGAGGCTGAGTTTCCAAAGCTGTATGACCTAAATACAGTTGTTTTTAGGTCTCCTTCAGGAGTTGCATGGCCCTGTGTTCCTCTGTCTCTCTTTCTCCTTTAGTAATGAGGATTGAACCCAGGACTTTTGCACTGAGCTATGTTCACAGCTTCTTTAAATTTTTTTTTTAAATTTTGAGTCTTACTAAGTTGCTAAGTTGCCCAGACTGAGCTCAAAGTTGCAATCCTCCTGCTTCAGCCTCCCACAGTGCTGGGATTACAGGCATGTGCCACCACGGCCGGCTCTGTGCTCCTTTCCAATCCAGGTCTCAGAATAAAGTTGGAAACTCCTGCCTGAAGGAAAGGCTTATGTGGCTGGCTCCCTGGACTGCATTCCCTGCAGACAGAAGCTGGAATGGTACCACCTCAGGCGCAGGACCTGGTGCAGAACAAGCCCCAGCTGTATCCCTCCCAGCAGTCTTGACACTGGGCTGCCTCTGGCCTTGGCAGAAGGGGACAGGTTGCTCTGGTTCCGCCCAGCCTGCCACTGCAGGCTCCTTCTCCCACCTTGGGCAGATGCCTCACTCTCTGCTGAGTTGGGTTATGAAATGGGACAGGAATGAGGTCAGGCTCTCTGCCAGCCCAGAGCTCAGTGTCCTCAGAGCTGGGGCCCTGGGTCTCCAGGGGTTTGCCTGCAGTGCCTCCCTGTGCCCTGACTGTCCCAACTGCCAGGTTCTGAGCGCTCATATCATGTGTGCTTGTCACTCATCTTCCCGGAGCTCCTCCAGCTGGAGTCCTCTTCACGCCTTTCGGCTCTGACAGGGAGCTCGCCCATGGCGGGCCCGCGTCCCCCTTCCTCTGGCTCTTCCCCTGGTCTCCCATATGGGCCGGCTGCAGAATGTGTGGCATGGTTGGGGAGGAGGTTGCCAGCCCAGGAGGAGATCCCCGTGGGGACTGGAGGAAGCCCAGGCCAGCCCTGTTCCTCTCAGGACTCCCACTGCACGGTGAGGGCCAAGCCTTGGAAAAGAGAGTCCAGCTCCGTGGACGGCTCCAGCTCCAAGGCCCCAGGGCCTGAGCTCAGGGCCTCAGCCTCGGACACCAGAACCTCATCCTGGGGACACACAAGGGAGTCCAGCAGCCCCCAGGGATGTGGCTCCTGCTCAGAGGGGGAGCAGCAGAGGGAGGGAGGGTGCAAAGGGAGGGACACCGGCTGGCCTTCGATCTGCACAGACGAAAGGAGTGAGAGCGGGCCTTGTAGGTACGGTGGGCTCTCTGGCTCCACACTGTGTAGCAGGTCCAGTTCTCTGTCTGTACAGGTCCCCATGGGCGAAGGGAACAGCTTTGCCTCTTGGAGTTCCTCCACGGTCACAGAGGTCACTCTCTGCAGAGAGAAGTCACCTGGGACACAGCTTCCCACGGGTGCCTCTTTCTGGGGCTGACCTTCCTGCCTGAGAAGCTGGGGGCTGGGGGGTGTCCCCGGAGCGGAATCTGTGCCACAGCTTTCCAGGCACACCCCATAGGAAACAGGTCCTCCGTCACTGGCCTGTGGAGCGCAGGAGGGAGGCTGATCCGGGGAGACAGCCTGCGGAGTGTTGAGTAGGGCTTTGACATCCGGGGCCACTTGTGGAGTGTAGGAGGGGGGCCCGACCTCGGGGGCTGCTTTCGGGGCGTAGGACGGCGGCAGAGGGAGCGTCTGGGGAGGGGGCACACCGGCAGCCCGCAGGATGGAGATGTCCGAGTGCCCTAAGTAGGCCAGCTCAGGTGGGCTGCACAGCGGTGCGGCTGCTGGCGGCTCTCTGGGAGCGGAGACGAAGACCGGGGTGTACTGCAGGGGCTGGGCCAGGCTGCTGGGGCTGTGGAGGTCCAAGGCGGGGATCAACACGTGCTCCTGGATGAAGCGCAGCGGCTGGAAAGTCAGCACTCGCTGGACATTCTGTGCAAGGACGACAACAACCACACTCTGAGCATGCAGTCTGAGCTCCGCGTGGTGGGAGCTGTGAGTGGGTGGGGTCCTCCCTGGGGAGGCAAGAGGAGTCCGGTGCCTGGGCCTGGGCCTGGGCCTGGGCTGCATGTGGCTCAGTGGCATTACCCAGCACGCTTGAGTGCCTGGGCCCCATCCCCATCACAGCAAAAATAAATAAGCAGGTAAGCAATGCACGGGCCCCACCTCCTCCCTGCGCCTCAGTGAGTGCCTCAAAGAGGGGCGGGGCTCTAGGCCTTTGTCCGAGCGCCATATCTACATTTGTGTTCTCTCCGGGAGACAGATTTAGGCGCTGGTTTCCCTAGGAGGCAGATAACCTAGGAAGCTGGTGACCCAGATGTGGGGGTGTTGTGCGGCTCATGGGCCCCCGGAGGGCCTGATGCAGGGGTCAGGATGGGAGAGGGTAGTGCAGCAGGGGACTCTAGGGGAGTTGAAGACACGGCTCGTGCGCATGTGACATTAAGCAAAGCGCCTTCAGAACTCCCGTCCCTTGGAGGGGGGCGGACAGTTAGCTCCAGGTGGCTGAGGGCTGCCAAGAGCAGAGAGCTGGCTGGGCAGCCGGAGAGGCCGTGGCTGGACCCAGGTGGTTCGCACAGGCAGGTGCAGTTTAAATTTAGTTGCTGATGTCTGAAACTTGGGAGATTTCACATTACAAACTGAAATTCTGACTTTTCTTGACTAAACATGAAGCTGGAACAAGACCTGGCCTGCAATCCCCTAGCTGTCACTCGGGTGCTGCTACCCACCCTGCGTGGACGCACTTGGGCCGTGTGGCTTTTCAGTTCTGTGTCCACCGTTCCTGGCCACCTGCCCCTCTGCTGGTCACCATTGTCGGCAATACTGGGCTGGACCAAGAATTCCAACAGGAGACCTGGAGACCTAACCTGCTTTGTGTAGAGAACCCTTCACTCTGGGGAGAAGCCGGGGACCCCCTCCTCCCTGGAGCTTGAGGTCCTCCCTGGCCCTCTCCCTCCTGCCCAGGCAGGATGACTTACCAGGGAGTCAGGGGGCACAGGCGGCTTGGTGATATATCGGTAGCTCAGGTAGCAAAGCACGGTGACAAGGATGCCCAGGAAGAAGAGTGCGGCGCCCGAGAAGGAGTAGGTCCACGTCCGGTCTGGGAGGAAGGGGAGGCAGTGTGAGACTGGGCCCTGTCCCGGCGACGGTGCTGGAGAGCCTCTCAGCCGAGGAGCGGGGCCTGGGCCCTCTGCTCCCTCAAACGTGGAGGTGCAGGGAAAACCGCCTGCTGGCCCCCATCCGGCATGGTTCCGTCCCCACTGCCAGGACCTCCGCTCACGTGCCAGACTCATTCAGGCCTCTGCGAAGGGCCACCAGTAGGTCCCCTGTGGGCCAAGGGTCTGCATTTCAGTCAGCATCTTCCTGAATGAGGAAGGACCCAAGGCAGAGGTCTGTCTAGACAGAACACAGGCTTGGGCCACAGGCGCAGGGGGCTTCAGGGTCCCAGTACTCAGAATCTGGTCCCGAAGGGAGGCTGCAGGGTCCAGATGGACCTGCCCCTTTGCTGTGTGGGCCCTTGAACTTGTGGGGAGGGGCATGGTGGGGGAGGCCAGAGCAGAGCCTTCTGGAGGGCAGGGCGCAAGGCAGAGCCCCTCCTGCCTCTGTCTAAGGCAGGCAGATTGGGGGAGAAGTAACAGCTTGCTTGTCCTCTCTGCCTCCTCTCTGCCTCCTCTCTGCCTCCTCTGCAAAGGCCTGGGTGTCGGGGAGGGTCTTGCCTAGGAAGGGGCTGTAAGTGCTGTCCCTTCTAAAAGGGAAGGAAGGGGAGGGCTGGGCTCCAGGGCCAGAGGCTCTCCCCCGCTTCCCAGCGTGTTGTGATGGGCGCCTTCAGGTCTTTGAGTGACATCTCCGGGCAGCAGCCCGAGCAGGATTTGTGAATGGGCCGGCGGAGGTGGCAGGGAGAGGTTTCGGTAAAACTGAGATGGCATCGCCCAGGGGTCCTGAGTGTCCAAGTCTCCCTCCTCTTCCTGACCCTGTGTGGCCTCAGCGTGGCAGCTGGTCACCAGCTCCACGGACTCAGCCCTTCCCGTGAACGCCCAGAATCTCTGAGCCTCTACTCCGAGCCTCCTCCTTCCTCCTCCCCCGGTCCTCTCCGGGTCAGCTGCCCATCGTCACAGGACACCCTGTTTCTACACAACCTGCCTAACGTTGGTGGCAAACTGCTGATTCTTACATGGGAATGGGATGGGGACTTGGGACATTCCCTGGCTTGAGGCACTTTCCACTTGCCATTTTGCCCAGAGGGTGGCGGGATGGAGTAATAAAACTGGAGCCTGGGGTAAGGAATGAGCAGCACTAGAGGCTTAGCTGAGCCATTCATGTGCTGAGCATTCTCCCTGCCACACGGCCCTCTCTGGTCTCCTCTTTATCAGTACCAGTTACCAAGGCAACACATCCTACAAGCCATGCAGTGCGCGTGGTGCCCCGCCTGTGTCATCCCGGCAAATCCTCAAAACCACGCCAGAGGAGAAGGATGCTCCTTTCTTACAGAGCACAAGGCTGAGTCTCAGAGAGGTTAAGTGACTTGGGTGTGATCACACAGCTTCTCAGTGGAGCAGCCAGGATTAACATGTACAACTCCAAATCTCCTCCTCACAGACAGGCCTTAATCATGTCTCAGTTTCCTCATCTGTACTCATAAGATAACAATATGGGTGAGAGGACCCTGTGATCTATTTCCAGTGCCAAGATGCTGGTACAGTGCTCTGTGACCCTCTGGACATCCCAAACGGAAATCAAGGGGGGATTCTGGGCTCTGGGGTAAGGCAGGCTCCAGGGCACAGGGGCAGGGGCAGGATGTATCACTCCAACATGGAAGCAAGAGGAATAAGTGTGCAGTTGGAGGGACTGGCTAGAAGCCAAGCTGCAAAGAGGAGGTTAGAGCCCAGGCTGCAGACCCAGCTGACCAGCCCCATGGTCCTGGACAAGCTACTTAACCTCTTTGAGCCAGGGCTCCACCTCTATAAATGGGGCTAATACAAGCCAATGTGCAGGACTGTTTTAAAGATAAATAATGTATGTAATAAAAAGGTTGCAGAATAGATGTAAAGGATGTGACACAGAGTAGTAATTCATAAGTGGTAGGAATTGTTTTTAATGTATTTTATTTTGAAGGATAAGGTATCGTCTCTAGATCCATAAAAGATACCTGTCAGGAAGTGTGATTTATATAAAAGCAGCTATGGTCTTAGAAAAGATGATGTCACAGCACGGGTGAGGTCATGGGAGGAAAGGCCCCGGGAGGGTACATGTGCAGGGTCTGCAGGTTGTCAGACACAGGGCGAGGTTTATCTGCTAAATTCAGGGGAGTCACGAGCCACGCATGCGCAGCCCGCTGGGTGCCTGATAGGCCCATTTCCATTCTCTAGTTCCCCCTGGCCCGGTTCTACCCCAGTCTCCCTGGCCTTGCCCAGGAAGGATGCCCAAAAGTGACCTGGTCCACTCTATTCAGGCAGATCTCTGCTGGGGTGGCTCTGGCATTTGGTGGACACTTGGGGTGCTGATAAATTGAGCTTCCACATAAAGCCAAGAAGGGGACCCAGTCACCACCCCCCTGCCACCCCCAGGGCCATGTGCCTTTTCCAGCTCCCAACTAAACCCTATTTTATGTCGGGGCAGAAATCACACACAGACGCTCATCTGAACATGATGGCAAAGGTAGAGACTGTTGCTGGGCGTGGTGGCGCATGCCTATAATCCCAGGACTTGGGAGGATGAGCAGGAGGATCGTTGCGAGTTTGAGGCCAGCCTGGGCTACAAAGTGAGCTCAAGGCCAGCCTGAACTGCATAGCGAAACCCTGTCTCAAAAAGACAAAAAATAAAACAAAACAAAAAAAGTAGAGACTGTTCTTCCCAATCCATCCAATTTGTTGCTGTTGGGTCCATGCTCTACTCTTGCAGTATGAGGAACTGTGATATTTCTACTTGCCTAGGAAAAAAAACACTAATAAAAAGATCAGAAGCTGGGCATGGTGGTACACACCTGTAATCCCAGTATTCTAAGGGGCCGAGGCTGGAAGATCCTAAGGTTTTTTTGTTCTTATTTTTGTTTGCAACAGGGTCTCACTAGCTCAGGCTGAACTTGAATTTACCGCGTAGCCCAGGCTAGCCTCGAACTCTTGGCGATCCTCGTGCCTCAGCCTGCCCAGGGCTGGGATTACAGGCACACGCCACCACGCCCAACAAAATCACAAGTTTGAGTCTTTGCCTGGTCAATTTGGCAAGAGCCTGTCTCGAAATAAAAATTATAAAATAAAAAAGGCTGGAGATTCAGCTCAATGGAAGGCCCTGGGTTCGATACCCAGCACTGCCAGAAACAAAACAAAACAAAACAAAACAAGAAAATCCAAAAACCAAAACAACAACAACAGCAAAAACCAGATGCTTATGATGAGAGTGAATTTCATTTCTGTGTAGTGCAGTAGTGAGAACAATCTCCAGAACTGGGCCTTGTTCTATCCCTCACCACCTGTATGACCTTGAGCAAGTTACTTAATCTCTCTGAACTTCAGTTTCCTGTTTGGTAAAAGGAGAATGGTAATACCCGCCTCACACACTGCTCAGGAGGCTTGTGCTTAGTGATACCTGGTGTCTGGTTAGCCATGCAGTGAAGCGAGTAATCGTTATCACATTATTCTTTGTCTTTGGAAGGCATCATGGGATCCTGCTATCTTCTACGTTCTACCCTCTGCCACAAGTAGCTTCCCAGCACCACTTTTCCCCCATATATATCACTTGGGTTAATATTAAGGTGAGTTTACTTTGCCAGGGTATACACAATACTGGCCAGAGAGAGGAAATTCAGACGGAGTGTGAGGGTGGGGATTAAACCTTTTCTAAGACTAGCCATCTGCTACCGTGGTTATGATAAACAAAGATCAGTCTTAATATACACCGATAACCCTGCCTGGCTTTTCAGCACACTGCTGAGCCTCACCTTGGGCAGAGGGAGGGACCAGCAGGCTTCCCATTCCCCAAGGGGCTCCCCCACTCCAGCGACTCACCTGGCAGTGTCGTCACTCGGCACACGTAGGGGGCGCTCTCCTTGGACCAGGTTGGAACCAAAATCGCGATGCTCCCAAGAAATTCCGTGTCAGGGGTCAGGCCAGAGAACTCGTATTCGTGCTGCTTCCCTCCAAGATGCTGAATTGGACAGAGGGTCAAAGTGATGGTCTTCCAGGCCAGTCCCGGGCGGAGCCCACACCAGCCCTCACTCCTTCTCCTGAGCTGCTGCCCTTAGGAAAAGGGTCACACTGGCTGTCCAGACTAGAACCAGCAGATCAGCCTGTAGCGCTTCATTCCATTCTCTGACCTCCTTTATCTGCCAATCCAATCGGCCTGCATGCTGCCTGGATCTTTTGCTTAGCACTGCACTTCGTAAGCAGCCTAGAGATGGTACTGTAGCTGCTGCTTCCCCGGTCACTGGCCCGGCCACCCCTGCCCTCCTTCCTGTCTTCCTTCTTTCCTCCTCCCTCCTTAGCAGACATCAGAAGTCCTTTGAAGCAGGCTGTGCTGGCACCGGTCTGTAGTCCTGGCTACCTCGGAGGCTGAGGAAGGACAATCACAGTATAGGTAGTTTAGTGAGAACTTATCTCAAAAAGCAAAAAGGGTTGGGGATGGAGTTCAGTGAGAAGGCCTTGGCTTCAATCCCCAGTACTGGAACAAAAAAAAAGAGAAGAAGAAAAGAAAAGAAAAAGGAAGAGAAAGGAAAGGAAAGCAAAAGCAAAAGCAAAAGCAAAGGCAAAAGGAAAAGCCGTTTGAACACTTCCATCCCACTCCTGCCTGCCCCTTGCCTTCCCCGGGAAGTGGGCCTCAGCCCAGACTCTTGCTGTGGCCTCCTTACTGGTCATTGTCTCTGGGTTGGCCCCTGCCTGCTTTCGCATTCACCTTGGCGCCACTGTGACCTCTATAGAAAATGGGTAGAATTAGGATGTTTCTCTATCCCAGGTCCTCGGATGGCCTGGCCTGTGTTTACGGGACAAAATCCCGGTCCCCAGCTCCCTTCCACATGCGTCTGTCTCCATAGCCGGCCTGGCTCCTTGGGGTCTGTGCATGTGGTCCCTGTCCCTCTGGTCACTTGGCTTGCTGTGGGAAGACCCTGCTCTTCTGTCTCCGTTTTTTTTTTTTTGTCTTTTTTGAGACAGGGTCTTGCTAGTTCACCTGACCTTGAGCTCACTTTGTAGCCCAGGCTAGTCTCAAACTTGCAACGATCCTCCTGCCTCAGCCTCATGAATGCTGTGATTACAGACGTGCGCCACCACAGCCGGCTCCTCCTCCGTCTCTGATGCTCCCTCTGCAGCCTTGGTTTTCAGTGCTCACCTTCCTGTGAGCCTCTGATCTCTGACCTCTTCCACCTTTAACTCCTCTCCTCTCTCTCCTCTCCTCTCTCTCCTCTCTCTCCTCTCCTCTCTCTCCTCTCCTCTCTCTCCTGTCTCTCCTCTCTTCCCTCTCTCTCCTCTCTCTCGTCTCGTCTCGTCTCGTCTCGTCTCGTCTCGTCTCCTCTCCTCTCCTCTCCTCTCCTCTCCCATCTCCCTGGCTCTGCTCCTGCCCCTCTCATGCCTCTTCCCTGGCTTAGCCCCTCAGCCACATGATGGGAGGTTAACCTTCATGCACTTTTTCTTCTTTTTCATATTCTGTGGTCACTTAGCGACATCATCTGCTTCCGTGGCTTCTATGACCACCAATGTGGGGAAAACTCCCACGACATTCCCGGAAGGTCTAGAGTTTCTGATGGGCACTGCCAGTTCCCTGTGCAGTATCGCTGTGTGGGCAGTGCTTACTCCATGTGTCAAACACGCAGACCTCCTGGCTGGGATCTGCCCTGTCCCATACCCACACAGGTTCAGATTTTCTGACTCTGCTAAGAGCATCATTCTTTTGCTATCTGCCCCAAGCCCAAGTGTAAAAACCACCTTTGACAAATTCCCTCTCAAATCTTCTCGATTTAACTGCCTTAAACCATCGAGACATCTTCCATTAAAGGGCCAGGACTTAGATTCCCATAAGAGGTGCACTTTAAATAGAAAAACACAGGTAGATTTTAATACAAAGAGTTTAACTAAAGGTAAAAAGGGGCACTTCATGTGATCCAGTGGCCAGTTTATCAGGACATAACAATCATAAATACATATGTCTAATAATAGAGTTTCAAAACACATGAAAGAAAAATGCAAAAAATTAAAGAGGAAAAGCTAGGCAAACCACCTCATAGCTGGAAACTTTAACACTCTGAGCTGCTCAGAGAACCACAGGTCCCTCTCCAAGCCAAGAGAGAAACAAGCTCCTCATGACACTAATAATCCCCCTTACCTAACTGATACTGATACTGCACACCACCAAGCAACCACAAATACACGTTCTTTTCAGGAGCACGGGGAGCATTCACCAAGACAGGCTGCATGCTGGCCATAAAACAAATCCTAATAAATTTAAAGGACTGATACCAGGCAGAGTGTGTTCTCTGACCACAAACTGAATTAAGTTAGACATCAGTAATAATAAAATCTTTAGTCAAGCTCCAATATCTATCAGTAACAGCACTGATAAGGACTCTTCCAACTCAATAACCTCTAATTGCTCTCCTTGACTTCTGAAATAAATGAAACCTCCTCCCCCCACCGTCCTCAGCTCTACAGCATGGAAGGAGCTGGTCTGCTCAAGCTTCTCTCCCATGGTGCCTCTGCCTTGGATCTCAGACTTCACAGTGAGGAAGAAGCACTGGGTGTTCACTGAAATTCAGACCCCATGGATGCAGCTGCAGTCATGTGATTGGGCTGAGCAGCAGAGGTCCAAGGATCTGCACGTTAGTGCCAGAAGAGATTCTGATGCCAGTTATCTGGGACCATGTTTTGAGAAATTGCTTTATAATCTCCACAATCAGCCAAATGGGAATAGTTCTGTCTTTCTGAAACACAGTCTCACTATGCAATTCAAGTTGGCCTTGAGCTCACTTTGTAGCCCAGGCTGGCCTCAAACTTGCAATGATCCTCCTGCTTCAGCCTCCCGAGTGCTGGGATTACAGGCATGCACCACCACGCCCAGCTGGGAATAGTTTTATCTTCTCCAAAATCCCTAAGTTTTCCTGCTTCTCTGTCTGGTCACGGTGGGGACAGTGTAGGTGGGGTGTGTGTGAGGGGGCAATCCGACTGGATATGAATCCTGTCTAGCTACTGTTTGTAGAACAATCTCGCCCAAGTGACTTACCCTCTCTGAAACTTTGTTTTCTCATCTGGAAAATGGGGATAGCAACTCCTGCTTCACAGAGCTGTACTAAACATTAAATGATATGTACTTGTAGATATTACCTGGCAAAACTCAGAAACTGGTATGGGCACCTGAAGATTTTCTGGACGCCTTAGATTCTACTGATCTGACACCCTACCCCATCTGACAATATCCTTTTTTTTTGTTTTTTTTGGTCGTTTTTGAGACGGGGTCTCACTGTGCAGTTCAGGCTGGCCTTGAGCTCACTTTGTAGCCCAGGCTGGTCTTGAACTTGCAACGATCCTCCTGCCTCAGCCTCCCAAGTGCTGGGATTACAGGTGTGCGCCACCATGCCTGGCTCTGACAATATCCTTATTTCTCTCATCTTACAATATCCTTATTTCCCTCTACCTGTAGCTGTTTGAATTCTTGTTTCAACTTCCTCCCCACTCATTAGATTAGGGTATAAGCTCCTTGAAAGAGGGAATAAGAGTTGGAAATAAATATTCATTCGATCTAATGTGAATTGGTGGCACATGCTGGGGGAACATACCACGTATTTCCTGAAAACAAAATCTATGCACAGCACGTGACAATGTGTGCCCTTATCTTTCACCTTTCCTTGTGACTGACCTTAAAACACACCCTGTACAGATTCCTGCAAACAGCGGAAAACCAGCAAAAAGGATTGCAGCAGTAGAATCATCTCCAGCATTTTGTAAAAAGAACTCCCGAGGGTGTTCATAGAGGTTGTTTTCTACAATTTTAGCAGACATTTTTTACAATTTAGAAGGCAAACATAAAAATTTGGGGTGGGGAGCAGAGATGGGGTTCCCTAGATAAAGAAAGGCCAGGGTGCAACATACACTTACCATTTGGTAGGTGCCGTTGACGTGGAGCTCCAAGTGGTAGAATAGGTCTTGGAAAATCTCCTCCAAGGTTAGCCGGTGGCCATCTCCGGAGTGCACAGGGGTGAGGGTGGGATGGATAGTCATCCGAATGGATCTCACTGTGGGGATACAAGTCACATCTGGCGGTCTGATGGTAGCTGAAAAAAGGGAGAGAGAAGAGAGAAGAAAAAGTCAGAATTGCCTGGCGGGGTCTGAGGCTGCCTAGAGGCTGAGGAATGACTGCTCCCCTCTCCTCTCCCGTCCCACGCCCAGAATGATCTGAAGGCATCAGCTAAACCAATGGGTAAAGGGAGCAAAGTCCTGCATGTGGGTGGTGTCTGAGGGAAAGGCTGAGGAAGGGACAACCATGGGCGTGGGGTCACGCCCTTGCACCCCTGGCTCTGCCCTCATCCATCCTAGCCCCTGAGTCCCCACCTCAAGCCTGCCTGGAACACCCTCTTGGCAGTGACAGCTTTGGGGTGACAGCTTCACACCCTAAACAACACGGTGGGGGGCGGGGCCAGCTCCAAGGGCAGGCACTGGACTTCAGCCTCTCTGAAGGTAGAATTTTCCAAATTAACCGAATGACCTTCACTGGTTTAGAGCCCCCTGAGACGAATGCTATGGGTCGTCTTGTCTCCAAAATACAAAAATCTTGCAGCCACTTCCAGGGGTTCATGAACCCCATTCACCCTATACTTAATTTATCAAAGTCCCTTCGGGAGGTCCATTGACTCCCAAGATTTGAAACATCTGAGCAAGAAGAATGCTCACTTTGGTGCCGTTTATAAAGTTGAAAAATGGAGCTAAATGTCCTCAAAAGGCCAACCAGGTAAATAAATGATCGTGCCTCCAAAGAATGAGTCATCTTTCTGTGAAACAGCATCTTGTGGGTAAACATCTAATGACACGGACAAATTTCACGCTACCATCATAGAAAGCAAAACCGCAAAAGCAGGAAAATACCACGAGATGACAGAAAGCAAATAGGGTTGCTGGTAACTGTGGCTCTGAATGCTCAGGTCACTTGGGGTGACATTTATTTTTCTTTGCATATACCTATGTTTTCCATATTTCCTATCTTTAGCATGACTTAACTGAACAAGCCAAGAAAAAAGCCCAGGAAACTTCTTTCTCTTTTTCTTTTTAAATCACATGTGGCTGTAAAGTCAGTTGGTGAGCCTCACTTACCAACTGCCGTGTGCGTTACAAGGACAATGAACAGGGGACAATGGTCCCTCCCCATCCCTGGGGAGTGGTTCCCGGGTGCCATGCAGACACCAAAATCTGTAAGTATTCAAGTCCCTTATATCAAATTGCCCAGTAGTTGACTATGGCTACACACGTCCTCCCACACACTTTCTGTCACTTCTGGATGACTCAGAATACCCGATACAATGTCAGTGGCCTGTGTAGAGTTGTTACATTGTATTTCCATTGAGGAAAGAAGTGTGTATGTGTTTTGTACAGAGCCAACCATGCTTCAGATATTTTTCTTCCCGTTTGTTTGAATCCACGGTGCAGACCCTGGGGCTACTGGGGCCGACTCACTGTGTTGTCGCGAGTTGAACCGTTCGGTCCTCTTGGTGGTCGACCGGCCTCCGGGGGTGACGGCCGTGACCCTGGCATAGTAGAGCTCAGTGAGGTTGCCCGTTTCCACAGTCAGGTTGCAGGACTTCCGGGTGATCTGCTGGCAGCCCGCCTTTGCCAGCCATTGTGTCTCTCCGTACCTGGGGGCGAGGGAGCGGCCCGCACGGCATTAGTGAATGGCCCCCATTAGGCCAGTGGTTTATTAATGATGATAATGATGTCTAATATTTACTTAGCACCTTCTGTGTCCCCGGGGTTTTATGTACATGATCTCAGGCAGTTCTCACAATGACCCCTCAGGTGTGTGTATTATCTTCCCTCTTTTTCAAATAAGGAAGCTGAAGCTCAGAGGAGTAAAATGTGCCCACGCTTTTGAAGTGTACATGCAGTGACCTGGATTCAAATCCAGCCAGTCTGAATCCACATTACAGGCTCACTGTCACCGTAAGGCTTAAGGCAAACCCTATTATCCCCATTTCACAGATGGAGAAATTGAGGCTCAGAGAGAGCAAGAGACTTGTCATAGGACAAAGAAGCAGGACCAGGAATGGGACCTCGGATTGCAGATTTCAGGGCCTCTGTTTATCCTCCTCCCTGGCTGCACGGGAAGAGAGAGAGCTGGACGGGCGCACAGGTTTGGGTGGTGGGCACAGCTTTTGTTCACCTTCTCCCGCCAATAATGACAGAACAATTGCTGGTAGCTGCTTATTTGTCAGGCACAACTACTAAGGACTTCATTTCATTTCATCCACCTGACACAGTACGATGAAGACAGTCATTTTCCCCAGGCAGAACCTGTAGAAATAACCACCCTTTTACCTTCCCTCTGCAAAAGAAACGGGAAGGAGCAGAGCTCTGTGGGCACCGGGATGTTGGGGTGGGACTGGCTGCAGGGTGGTGTCTGAGGGGTGGGGGTGGGGGAAGTGGGAGGCCTACGTCTTATACTCCACACTGTAGACCATGCCGGGGATGCTCTCCGGCTCACTCTCCCACGTCAGGATGTTTTCAAAGTTGCTGGACTGGAATTTCACGTGCTGAAGCAGCTCGGAGGAGTCCTCTGCAATGTGAGCTGTAGGAGAGAGGGAAGAGGGTAAGTGGGTGGGCTCCTGGACCCCGGCCCCAGCCACCCAAAGAGGGTGCCGCCATTGCTAGCATCCATTCAGGATCACTTCCATCGCCCACAAAAGCCACTGTGGCCAATCCCTGTTCTCCCCCTACCCGGTCCCTAGCATCGCCAAGTCTCTCTTCTGTCTCTCTGCATTTGCCTCTTGTGGACTCTTCCTGTACTGGGACTTTGTGGCTTTTTCTACTCAGCTTAATACTGTCAAAGTTCAACCGTATGTGAGCATAAATCAGCACTTGTGGCCTTTTCTTATGGCTGAGAAATATTCTATGGTGTGGACAGACCACATTTTATTTATCCATTCATCAGTTGGTGGACTTTTGGGATGTTTCTACTTTTTTTGTTTGTTTCTACTTTTTGACTATTTTAAATAACACTGCCGTGAAGATTTGTGCAGGAATTTTTATGTGGACATCTATTTTTAATTTCTTTGGGCAGCCGGGGATATAGCTCAGTGGTGCAGCACCTGCCTGGCAAGCACAAGGTCCTGAATTCAATTCCTGGTACCAAAAAGCATTTCTTGGGCATACAACTGAATGGAATTGTTAGGTAGCTCTGTTTAACTTTTTTTGTATGTGTGTCTCTGGGGCTTGAACTTAGGGCCTCACACACACTGGCAACTGGTATACCGCTGAGCTATGCACCCAGCCCAGGAAGTTGTTTAAACTATTAGAATTTCAATTTCCTTATATCTGAGGTGGACATAATTTGCCCTGCCTAGTGACTGACAAGAATGACAAGAGCAGTGGCTGATGTTTATGAAGGCTGTGTCAGGCCCAAGCCTGTTGCTTCATGGAATCCCCCTGACAGTCTGATGAGATCGGCTTCTACTGCTGTCCCCATTTTGCAGATGAGAAAAACTAAGACTCACAGAAATGTTGCCCAGGGTCAGAGTAGGCAGTGACAGAGCTGCCGGTCACCACGGGGTGGCGACACCTGGGGCAAGGTCTGGGAAGGTGCTCAGACCATAACAGCTCAGTGTGTGCTGAGTCCAAGATGGGAGGACAGGGAGGGGAGACCCCCCGTGCAGGAGGCTGGGTTGGGGCTTTGTTAGCCTGAGGCCCTAGTAAAGGGCCCAGTCTAGGGAGGGTAGAAGGGAGAGAGGCACACACAGCTGGGGTAAGTGGGGAGCTCAGGGGCAGAGAGTGTGCTTAGAACATGCACGAGGCCCTGGGTTCAGCCCCTAAAGCCAAAAAATAAAGAAATTTTAAAAAGGCATCTACATCCAGTCCTCTGCTCTGCTTATTGCTGCTCCTGACGAAGGAGGGCAGCAAAGTTGGCACCCAGCAGGGGTGGGGGGCGGGGACCCTGTGCTGTCAGTGAGGAACCCTTGACTTACAGAGAGCCCCGTGGCCCTCCATGCCTGGTGGGGGAGAGGAAGAGGGGCAGGAGGATGGCGGCCGGGTTGGTCGCTGGCTCTGAGCATGCGCAGGGCGGCCTGGGAAGTAGACAGGTGCAGACACGGTGGAGTCAAGGCCTCGAGGCCCGTGTACCTGGGTCTGCTGTGTCCACGCTGGACTCACCCGTGACCCTGGAGAACCCCGGGAAAGGTTGCTGGCTGGGGCCAGTAGGTGAGGGGCTGGACAGTTATTGATTGCCACACTCCAAGTCTGCAGACAGTGTCTGCAAGAGGACTGCAGCGGCTCAGGGAGGCAGCTGTGAGGCGGGGAAGGACAGGGAGTCAGTCCCGTGCCACCGCAGATCTCTGGCTACTGGGAAGCCCCCTCCTCTCTGAAGCTGGGTCTGTCCGGCCCAGCGGTGGAAACCTTTATCTTCTAGGATCCCAGGGTCCTGGGATGGGGTCTTGGGTGGGCATATGTGGAGGATCTCACTGCCTATCCCCGGTATGATGATGGCTGTGCTGCTGTGCCCCATCGTACGCCTGACTTCCTGCTTGGGTCCCAGTCCGGGCAGAGCTGGGGGCCGAGTTGGAGGGAGGGGTCCTGGAATCCAGGGCTGGGTCTAGAACTGAGCGTGTGCTTGGAAACAGACTGAGGAGTGGCTTCGGTGAGGGAAGGTCAAGGGCAGGAGGGTGATGGTTGGGTAGGCGTGGCTGCGGTGGGAAAGGCCGCAGGTTGGGATCCGTGTCCCAAGCAGGCCATCTGTCAGGGCTAGGGGAGGCCGGTGGCTGCGGCTTGGGCCCACGGGGAAAGGGAGCCGGGGGTGCAGTTAGCACCACCTAACAAGAAGGCGTGGAAATTGGCTTCCAGAAGTGAGTGGTCAGACCTTGGCTGGCTCCTTTCTCTGAGGAGATAGCGGGAGCTAATGAGGCCCCAACCCCTCCCGCCCACTCGCTCCTTTCCCTCCCCAAATCTATCCTGCCTGTGTTGTTTTCTACACTTCCTGGTTGAAAGTCTACATTGTGAAACCTGGGAGATGTGTGTTGTGTGGAGCCTGGCCGTCTGGCAGACTTTCTAAAAGGCAGGTTTTCACATTTGTGTGGAAAAATAATCTATCAACTGGTGGGGAAGCTAAGGAAAAACATAGCAACAGTCCAACATGACCCGGGCTCCGCCAGACCGAGGCTGAGGGGCTGTGTCTGCAGAGGATGTAGCTGGCCCTGAACCACCTCCTCAGGGTGGCTTCCCGGGAACCCATCGTACAGGGCCTGGTGCACGAGGGCTTCCCACCAGAGAGGACACGCTCGAGCCTCCGGGGCTGTAGGGAAAGGAGCGAATCCCCCCGGCATCCCGGGCCCAGAGTGTGGGGTTGCTCAGCCAACGCCACGAGAGCACAGCCTAAAAACAGATGCGGTCCTATCAATCCTGGCTGGGGACAGCATGGACGGGGCAGCTCTCATCCCTTCACGGGCTTTATCCTGTCCCCAACAAAAGGCTAAGCATCCCCTTTCTCATCAGTGTTGGGCTCTGGCTTCCTCAGAAAGTACCCTGGGTTCCATGACAGGAGAACAGAGATGTACCCTGGGGTCTCACGTCTAGTCTCCACCATGCTAAATCCAGAAGTTCACTTTATTGGATTTGACAAGGATGGCCAGTGGTGCTGTTTGCAAGAGGACCCCTGTGCCGTAAGACCCTTGCGTGCAGCCTTCTGGGCCGCTCGGGGAGGAAATGCTCTTCCGATCCAGCCACAGGCGCCAGAGGAGAGAAGCAGTAGCTCCCACCAGCCCATCCCACCTCCCTTCCCCTCAGAAGCAGAAACAGCTGGCAAACCATGGCCAGGAGGTGAGAGGGGCCAAGGCATGTCCGAGTCCCCAGGCCAATCCTCCAGCTGTTGGGGTGTGGGCATCCAGCACCCCAGCTCTGACAGCTGGCTATGCACCCTCTGATCCCAGGGTCACTCGAGTCCCTGTAAGAAGCCAGGGTTGGATGGTGCCCACCCTTGAGCCCTTCCCAGACCGCTAAGCTGGCCACCTGCTCCCCCTGGAAGCCCCGCACCTGGTTCAGCCCAAGCAGGGAGGAAAATGAAACTGGCCATGATGAGCTGCACAGGGCAAGAGGTGACAACCCTGATCCTGGCTCCTGGGGTCAGGAGGACCTGACCGCAGGACGGGGCACTTACCAGCCAGGGATCCGACAGCTAGGATGGTCAGTAGTGTCTTCATTGGCCCGGCCAGGCCTGGGGCCTTCCGGGCCTCCACTCGGGCCCTGCACAGAGGGCAGGCTGCGAAACCTTGCCGCCTTGGCACTGGCTCCACCCGGCGCAAGGCGGGGATAGGAGGGGAGGGCAGGGCCGGGCGGTGGGGGCAGGGTGCAAAGGTGCCTGGCCCTGTGCTCTGGAATTCCGCGTCCTGGGTGGGATCCAAGGGAGTTCCCTCGCTGGCTGCGGGAGAACAACAACCGTGGCAGGCGGGCTTGTTTATCTGGTCCGGTGGCTGATTCATCCCAAGACTCTTCAGCAGTTTATCAGGGCACTGAGAGGCAGAAAGGCAAAGACTCCATGATAGATGGGCTTAGCAGAGAGCAACTGGCCCTGCGTCAAAGCTTGCACCAAGGGCCTCTATCTTTTGTCCCAATAATTCCATTCCCCGGGATTTACCTTGAAGAAAATAAAGGGACAAGGGAGGAAAAATACAATCAACTCAGTGCCCCTTGCAGCAAAGCTTTGACTCTCAGTGCTTGGCTTTGTCGGAGCGGTAGAAGATTCAGGGTGTCTGGTGCCCACGCGCTGACCCCAGGCCGGACAGCATGCTTGGGAACAGCGTCCTGCTGGCAAGGCTGCTGGGGTGGGGTCCAGGCACTGTTGGCGTGAATTTTTGGGCTGGGATCAGCAAAAGGTTAAAAAAAAACCCAGATCTCAGACTTCAGGGATTCCTTTTGCTGTGCTAGAGAGGGGCAAAATTCAGGGCAGGGCCTTGGGTTTGGGACCATGAAGGATACTGCTTCCCATAGTTCTGCCATGAAGACTGTCTACAGAGATGCCCAGGAACTTCCTGGTAATGAAGGTGTAGGTGGGTATTTGGGAAGTGTTTTACTACTTCTTGGTGAGATGCGAAGAAGATTGAAAGGGCCTAGATTCAAGCTGGGGCGGACTTGATGGAAGGACTCAGCCCCTGGGGCGAGTTTGGCTGGCCCAGCGGAGTAACAGCAGGCCAACGATCCTGTAGGAAAATTTGGTTGTTGTTTTGCTGGGCTAGGGAAGAGCCCAGGGCCTTGCGCATGCTAGGCAAGCTACACCTCCAGCCCTGGGGTTGGCTTTTTGGACGTAATGGCCTGTAATATCCAGGGCTCTATGATTTAGTTTTCTTTTTCTTTTTTTTTTTTTCTGTTTTTTTTTTCCGGTACCAGGAATCCAACTCACGACCTTGTGCTTGCCAGGCAGGCGCTGTGCTGCTGAGCTAAATCCCCAGCCCCGATTTAGTTTTCTTTTTCTGTGTTCTAGTTGCTGGTTACCAGCTCTAAATCTGTGCTAAAGTTTGTTTGATCTAACAGCCGAATCCAACCTGTGCTTTGGGGGAGGTAAGTCAGGCGCCGTGTCAGTCGTTTACTATAACCCTGGGAAATAACATTTCCCAGATGCCGTTGTTAGCAGCTCCCAGCTAGCAGGAGCCCAAGGCAGGTTGGAAGGTGGAGGAAGTCAGGGGATTCTCTGTTGTGGGCGGCATCTCCAGTGATGGCTGAGTATCTGGAGCTCTGGCTCCTGCGGAACAGGCCCTCCAGCCAAGCTGCTTCCTAGTCCCGTCAAGCGGCCAATCCTGGGCTCAGGTGACATGGACTCCATTTAGCTGGAAGGATGGAGCTGCTGCCTGCTGTGGTGAATCTCTGGCTGCTTCCTGGTCCTGACTGAACCCTTACTCTCCCTTCATCTGGTTACAGTGTTAAGGTCCCTTGGTTGGAAAGACTCAAGCTATCTTCGTGTTCCTGGAGGGACCATGATGGATGTAGGGTGTTTGAGGACTTGAGGGACACAGTGGTACAGGGAGACTACAGCCAGCAGAGCAAGTTACAGAATGCCACGAAGAGACCCCAGAGCGAGAGGAGGCAGCTCTGGACCAAGGCGGCTGACCGAGGGACAAGCTGCAGCCCCATCTAACCTGATGGGAGAATGAGATGCCTGTGGTCACGAGGCCCTATGGTTATGCAGGAATGAGTGGAAAGGGAGACATCTGGATTGTTAAGAACTTGGGAGCACCCAGATTCATTGGTAATGTTACATGATTTTTTTGTTTAAAGAGAAAGAATAGCCTATGTGTCCAACAATTGGGGTTTAGTGGCGTGAATGAGGGTCTGTCCACTCAAAGCAAGACAAATACAGCCTTCAAAATAATGCTGGAGAGAAATAGCTCATGGTCTGGTACAGCACACGGCTGGTTGAAACACATACAGAACTTACACACATGGAGAATCAGGTCTCAGAGGCTATCTACGAACATACCAGTTGGGCTGTTTGGGGTGGTGGATAGGCCATTTTTATCCCTTCTGGCTCATCCACACATTTCTGGAGTTTTTATAGGAAATGTATTAATTTATATTAAGGAAATGCAAGGTGACTGGCAAAACAGAGATTCCCAAAGTGTCCTTGCCTGGGCTGCTCCCCCTCCCCATGCCATCTCCTCTCCCTTAGCCAAACCCTCCTTCTGCCACGCCCCACGGTTTCTCCTCCTGCAATCTGTCTGCTCCTGACAGCGCCCGCCCCGAGCAGCCCCCTTTAGAATTCTTTCCAGCGCTGCGGTGCTGTCCAGCATGTGGCCTTGTCCACTATACTTCTTCAGTCATGTTCCCCACTCAAGACGGAAGGGAGAGATCTGCGCTGGGGTGAGGTGAGACATGAGCATCCTCTTCAAATCTACGGGAGGCTGAAGTGTAGAGAATGCTCCCAATTCTTTGGGGTGTAACTGCCTCCAGACAGGGAGCTGGCAGGGGGCGTGGCAGGGGTGCCAGATTCTCGGTTTGAAGGAAATAGTTCTGCCTGTGATGGTGCGGCTGCTTCCGGATGGGCTGCCTGGGAGGCAGGAAGCTTTCAGCTGGTAAAGGTGTTCAAGGTGAGGAGGTGGACCACGGTAGAAATTTGTTCCCTAGATACTTCGTTTTCTGGTCTCTAAAACTTGATGCTTCTTGTCTACCCCAGAGTCCCGAGAGCAGGCAGCATCCCTGTATTTCTCTTCATATAGCTGACTACAGTCCAGGGCTCCAACATGGACTCACAGGTCAGACATGGGTGGCAGCAGATATGCCCTGCTTGCTCTAGCTCAGGCTGCCGGGAACACGTACATTTCTCCGGCACCCCTTTCCATTGTCTTACCTGAATGAGCCTTGAATGAGCTGTTCCTGCCGCTTAGATCACCCTCTCCTTCCCTTTTCCCGTCTTTTATTATTTATTCTTCAAATCCCTTCTCCAAATTACTTCCTCCAGGAAGTCTTCCCTGTGTGAGCTGCTTATCTGTGTGGTAGCTCATCTCTGTGTTTCCATATCCCAGTGTGTATTTAGCTGCATTTTCTGCTTCCCCACTTTGCTGACGCTGGGAACGAGACTGTAACTTGCTTACCTTGGTGTTGCAGTGTCTGGTCTCAGTAGCACAGAGCAGGTACTTGGTGATGTTTGCTGATTGACTGATTGTGCTAGGAGAACTGGCTAGGACTTAACTTATTTCTGTATTTTTTATTAGTACATGTGTGTAGTGCAGAAGGTTTACATTCCTATGGAGTTTGTACTTGTACATAATATATCTTAATCCTTTTAAAAAAATCTTCTTGCTGTCCTATCCCTCCCTTCTTATTCTATCTTTTCACATTTGAGAAAGATCTACTTGCCTACGTCCTATTATCTTTTATTTTGTTCCTTTTTTTTTGGGGGGGGGGACAGGGTCTCGCTATGCAGTTCAGGCTGGCCTTGAGCTCACTTTGTAGCCCAAGCTGGCCTTGAACTTGAATGATCCTCCTGCATCAGCCTCCTGAGTGCTGGGATTACAGGCGTGCCCCACTATGTCTATCTTTTATTTTGCTCTTATTTATACTTTGGGTTTCTCATATAAGAGAAATCATGTGATATCAGCTTGTGTGTCTGATTTATTTCACTTAACCTTATGGTCTCAAAGTGCATCAATTTTCTTACAAATGACTCAAGTTTATCTTTTTATGGCAGAGTAATACTCCACTGTGTGTAAATGCCACATTTTCTTTATCCATTCGTCTGTCGACGTGCCTATAGGCTTCTTTCAAAATTTAGCCACTGTGAATTGTGCTGCCATAAACATGGGTATGCACGTACCATTGAACTATGATGTATTTAACTCTTTCAGAGGATATCTAGAAGAGAAATAGCTGGGTGAAATGAAATTTCTATTTCTAGCTGTTTGAGAATCTCCACACTGATTTCTGTAGCGGTTGTACTAGTTTACATTCCCACCAACAGTGTAAAAGAGTTCTTTTCCCCCTGCAGTCTTGCCAGCATTTGTTATTATTTGATTTCTTGATGATGGCCATTCTTTCTGGGGTAAGATTAAAATCTCAGTGGTGTTTTAATTTGCATTTCTCTAATGGCCAATAACATGAGGCATTTCTTCATGTATTTATTGGCCATTTATACTTCTTCTGTGAAGTTCTATTCATTTAACCTGCCCAGTTTTTACCTGGATCTTTTATTTTTGGGGGGAGTCTAATTTTTCTTGAGTTCTTTATGTATTCTAGATATTAGTCCACTGTCTGAGATAAAGCTGGCAAAATTGTCTTCCCATTCTGTAGATTCTTTTCACTCTGTTGGTTGTTTCTTTTGTTGTGCAGAAGCTTTTTAATTTGATATAATCTCATTTTTTTGGTACCAGGAATCGAACTCAGGACCTTGCACTTGCCACGCAAGTGCGGTGCCTCTGAGCTATCCCTCTGGCAATCCTATTTGTTGATTCCCAGTACCACTTCTCATGTAGCTGATGTTCTATTCAGAAAGTCCTTTTCTACTCCTATGACTTTGATGGCTAGGACTTTAATCCTATATGAAACTTCAGCTCCAAGCTAAAGCAAAAGCATGTACTAAAATGGCAAATCCTCGGGAATGTGACCCACTCTCGCCCTTTCTCTCCACAGCTGGGGAGACTAAAACCTTTTCTGCAGAAGCAAGAACATCAAAAGGCAGTGAGGGGTTTACTAGACGTCTCTGGCACAATGGACTGCACTGTCCTCATGGCTGATGACAGAGAGAGAGAGAGAGAGAGAGAGAGAGAGAGAGAGAGAGAAAGAGAGAGAGAGAGAGAGAGAGGGAGAGTGCTCACTGAGCTTGCAGGAGTCCCCCAGACATTCCTGGACAGGAAGAGCGAGAATCAAAGCTTGGCCACCTTCCCTCCCCAAACTCTTCTTGCAGAGTCAGCTACTTTGGAGTCTGACCCAAAGGCCATCTGGCCACGAGGCCTGGGCTACGTCAATCAGGGATGCCGGCATAGATGTCCCAGGCCGGGAGCCTGGCCTGGCCCCTGTGCTTGACTCTGGGAGATCACGAGCAGGTCTTGTCCCCCTTCAGTCATCACTCAGCTTTTCGGTTTGCAATGGAGTCTTGGTCTAGAAGATTCCTAAGGGCCTTGGAGCTTGAATGGCCTCCGCTTTTCTGTGTTTTAGGTTTGGGAGACCTCCCCAGCACTCCAGAATTCCCATCAGGACTGTTGTCATGGACACAAGCACACATTCACCTTCGCATTTATTGACACTGCTTAGGAGTTCAGCTCTCTCTGCAGTTTGGGGTTCCTGAAGCTCATTACACGCCTCTAAGGTCAGCTTCCTCACCAAGGAGTCCTTGCACCGGGCTTGGGGAGCAGCCCCATCTGCCCCTGGGAGCCAGGGGAGGTGGACGGGATGCCAGCTTTGGGCACACAGAGGTCGCTCGAGTCCTAGCTCTGCCACTTCTCTGCTACGCGCAGACCGCTTAACCCTCACCCTTGGCTTTCTCACCCTTGACACAGAAAGCAGGGCCTGTGCTCACCAGCCGCTCTGTGCTGCTGTCTCTGGGGGTTCTGAGGTGGGGTCTCACGCAGCAGGTGCCTTCTCTGGCCAAGTGGGGAACTGAGGAGTCTGTGAGACCCCTTAAGGACTTTGCAGAAACCTGGGTGTGCAAGCGTCAGGGTGGAGGGAGGCAGCGGGGGGACAAGGACACGCGTTCCTTTAGAAGCTCAAGTCGGCAGTCATTTCAGAGGCTGAGGGGCAGGGATGGGAAGGACCACCCCCAATCTGCAGGTCAGGGTGTGGGCGCAGCCACCTTCCTCCCCTAGACTCTTCCTGGAGCTCCTCAGGGGTCTGTGTGCATGCGTGTGTGTGTGCATGTGTGTGTTGGGGGTCAAGGACCTGAGGCTCAGAAATGAGACTTCAGTGGGGGAGGTGTGTCCTGTTGGAATCTGGCCCATTTAGTATCCTGAGGCCTAGAGTGGCTGAGACAGCTCCACCTTGGAGGCATCAGGACCCGGAGAAGCCTCCACCCCTGCTGACGGCGTGGCCCGGCACGACAGGAGGCCCACCTTCTAATTCACAGAAAGCGGCAATAAGGAAGAAAAGGACGCTCGCCAGTTTATGCAAAGCTCTCACACCTCTGCGTCCTACACTGTCACATGCCAAGGGGTGGGGCTTCTTGGGTTGGAACGGGTCCTGGCGCCAACCAGTATCTTTTAAGTAATTGAGTCATGGGAGTGACTCACTCACATTTAAATATAGATAGAACTCTGGTCTATTTTTCTAAAAAAAAAAAAAGCACCCCTAACCTTCCATAGGTCAGCTTCGCTTTGCACACAGGAACGAGCTCAAGAGGGACGTGGACAGCAGTCATGGATCAAGCCCTGCAGCGTATGACCCCCGATAAGTGATGGGACAGTAAGCTGCAAACGGGGGATTACAGGACTAGCTTGTCTCCCTCTCAGAGCAGATGCTGGTTGTGAAGGACCGTTACCCATGTGTGACCGGAAAGGACCCGGATGGTATCATCTAATGCAAGATCACCAGCCTCCCAACATGTAAGTCAACCATGGCCAGCCGCCTACTGGCGCTGACTCAAATCAGTTTGCTCCTTTTTACTTTCATTCATTTATTCAATGCCAAGCCCCCACCTCGGATGCTGAAAAACAGTCCCTTCGCTAAAACTGATCTCGGGACATAGCATTTGGCCTTCCCCCAGCTCTCCTGAGCTCTCTGGTTAGAAGGCTCCAGCAGCCCTGCCATCCCACTTGGGTCCAGCAGGTGGCAGCACACAAGTTGACAGCCCCTCCAAAGGTGACCGGACAGAGGAGGGCTGGGTGGGAGGTGGTTGGGGATGAGCTGGACAGGAAGTGCGAGCGGGTTTTCCAGAAAGGCCCTACTACATACACGTCCCACCAAGGGGGCAGATAGCTGAGCCTGGCGCCCGCTGTGATATTCACTGTCGCTAATTCACGGGGTGAATTAGCGAGATCAGTTATGAGTAATAACATTGGTTTAAAGGGACCTGTCAGATCCGCTTAGCTCGGCTCTAGCACCTAGAACTTACCCTGGCAGTGGCAAATGGTGACAACCGTGGTGCAGGGCTGGACATCATCATGTGTCTCTGGGAAGGTCGTGTGAGAATGGGGACCCTCTGCCCGAGAAAGCAGGTGGAGAGAGTTCAGGTTTGCCAGACCAGGCACCGTGAGGCTCTTCCGCACCCTTCTGTGGACCTGGTCGCCAGTGGACAAGCTTTGCCGGGGTGGTGAGCAAGCTTGGGTCTCACCGTGGCCTGTGACACTGGCCACCTTCCCCAGCCCTGTGGCACTCTGCACTCTGGCTGCTGTACTCGGCTTGATGCACTCTGACTGCAGGAGCTTGCAATGCTGCCTTGAACTCTGCACAGTACCCCTGCTAATCGTAGATAAATTCCCCAGGCGGAGGAGCAGATCTGAAGTGGGCCTGACAGACACTGACTTCCAGAGCTCCCCACAGGCAGGAGCCCCAGATACCCACGGCCGCAGGGGCCTGTTCCATCACAGACCTTGAATGGCGGCCTTCCGTTCCTGCCTGGCTTCTCCACTCCCCTTGTGTCACCTGCTACGCCGAACCCCTGGCCTGAGTCTGCTTCTGGGAACCCCTCCCTAGGCCCCTGTAATCTTTTTAATCTTCTTCCTTTTTTTTCTTTCTTCATTCCTTTCCTTTCCTTTCTTTTTTTTTTTTTTTTTTTTTTTTTTTTTTTTTTTTTTTTTTTTTTTTTTTTTTTTTTTTTTTTTTTTTTTGAGACAAGGTCTTGCCATGTAGCCCAGGCTAGGAAATCCTCCTACCTCAGCCTCCTGAGGGCTAGGATTCTAGGTGTGCACCACCACAGCAGGCCACCCCTGTAATCTTAACAGTTGAGTTGTGAGAAAAGATAAAAGCATGCACGTTTCCATTCAATTCTATCTTTTCTGTAAAAATAGAGCTCTTTATTTAAAAGTTTAAGGTAACATACCCGCAGACATTAGAGTATTATTTAAATATGATATAAACACAGAACAGAATTAGACATAAATACAAATATGTAAGAATAGAGTCTTGGCCGGGGATGTAGCTCAGTGGCACAGCGCCTGCCTGGCAAGCATGAGGTCATGAGTTCAATTCCCGGTACCAAAAAAAAAAAAAAAAAAGTCTTGTCCACAGGCTAAGAACCATGTATCACTTTAACCTGTGTGACTTTAACTTAAGGCACTATTCACTTTTCCCCTGATGTCCTTGGGTGTGGCCCTACTCACAGCACTGTCCCTAGCAGCGGTGTGCCCTATAGGGCTTTGTAAATGGGTGAGTGCTGACTGGGTACACACGGCATATTACTGTCTGTCCCTTCCTCACGCTTCCCACAGTGTCTTGTAAATGACCTCACCACTGCAAGGAGCAGGAATTTGGAACTGCCAGAAAGTGCAGGCTCTTTCAGACTTTAAACTTTGGAAAAAGCTCTTTTAAAAACTAACGAAGTTGGAGAGCAGAAATAAAGTATTTCATTCAAGCCTAAGACAATACTGTAGCAACGGAAACACTTCTTCTGAAAGTTCCTCTGTGAAACAGCTCAGCCATCCCCAAAGGGAAGGCAGCTTCGGCCTGGGGCATTTTTGGAACCCGGCAGGAACCTCAGCCCTTCCCAGGTACCATCGTTTCTGTTTGTTCTTTCTTTGTGCCCAACAATATGGACTAAAGCAGCACAGAAAAGACCCCTGAGAAGATGTGTGTGTGTGTGTGTGTGTGTGTGTGTGTACGTGGATGAGTGTGTGTCTGCCCCAGCAGTGGAGACAAAGGCCTCCTGCCAGCTTAGTGACCCTTGGAGATCGAGGCTGAGACCTACATATTTTGTTGACATGGCCAAGGGGTCAAGTGTTAGCTCAGCTGGGCAGAAAAATCCAAGCTCTCAGCCCGGGGACATCACACTAAGTCGCTGGGGCAACACTGCCAGGTGACCTTGGGCAGATGCTTTTGCCACTCTGACCTCGGCCTGTTCGTGTGAAACGAGACAGGCGTTCATTAAAAAAGCGGTGCACAAACTTTTCTTTAGCAGTGCGACCCCTAACAGAAAGCACCTCCAAAGCCACTGTACATATTACAGGCACAGTGAGGGTGCCTCAACAGGAAATGGAGAATCCTAAGCCCCTCACCCCATGACCAAGACCCAAGGTCTTTGGGACCAAGATGTGAGAACCTCTGGGCTGGAGGCCCTGGAGAAACCTCCTCAGATGTGTCTGTGACCCTGTACCTCACACTGGCTTCAGAACTACACAGCCCTGGGGCTGGGGATTTAGCTCAGCGGCAAAAGCGCCTGCCTGGCAAGCGCAAGGTCGTGAGTTCGGTTCCCGGTACCGGAGAAAAAAAAACCAAAAAAAAAAAAAAAGAACTACACAGCCCTATGGCCAAAGGGCTGTGAAGGTCTTTTCTACACAACAGAGTGAGGTTATTAAGAGCTAAGTGGGAGGGCCTGGGCCACCGAGACAAGAACTAGGGGTACAGACAACCCAAGGCAAGAGGGACTGGGCCTGAGGTAACCTTGGTGGGGGCTCTGGTTTCTGAGAACTCAGCACCTTGTCTAGAGCTAGGCGGCAGCGTAGAGGCGAGGCGGGTAGAGGCAGGTGCTCCCGGTCCCTCTAGGGTCAGGTCACAGGTGGGGGATGCCCAAGGGTCTCCTTGCAGCCTGGGAGATGGAGGATTCTACCAGCCACACAGAGACAGCACCAATGCCAGGCAAGCCCCATGCCACACACCCGGATATCCTTACCACCCCTGGGTAGCAGCTGCAGATGAGGAAACTGAGGTACAAAGAATGACTGGCAACTGGCAGAGCTGGGATTTGAACCCAGATCTGTCTGCTATTAAAAACAAAAAAACAACAACAGCAAAAAGAATCCAAAGGCGAGGATCTGAAGGGTGGATCCCCTTTTCCTCCCCCACAACTCCCTCAGGGGACTGGATCTTGCCTTATGGAGGCTCACCCTAGGGGGTGACACAGGCTTGGGAGAGGGGAGCTCCGCGGGTGTTGGAAAGGCGGAGATACACCCAGATGTGCCTCCGGCGGGGCCACCCCTGCCCCAGTCCCAGATGGCCCCTGAGGTACCAGCCTGCAGTGGCCACAGCGACCAGGCCTCACTTGGTTCATGTTGTCTAGGGATGATTTTCCACCTGGCCTGTCACCCAGGCAAACATGGCTCTTGAGCCCGGGCGGTGTTTGAGTCCCTGGGGACAGCTGGAGCCAGCTCACCTGGCCATGTAATGTCCTAGCATCCCACCCCTGACCTGGGTCCTCACGGGGTTCCCAGCCTGCCAGCTGCAGCTTCTGCTGTCCATCGGTTCTGATTCCTTCTCCCCCTCTTCCTCCTCCTCTTCCTCTTCCTCCTCTTCCCCTTCCTCCTCCTCTTCCTCTTCCTCTTCAGGTCTGCTGTCCCAGCAGAAGGTCAGCATCTGAAGAGAAACTAAGGGCTCCCCAGGGGCTAGATTCCACCCTGGGGATAAGGATCCCTGGGCGGCCCACGAGGAGAGGCCGGCCTTCAGGGGCTCTTCCAGGGTGCCCAAGTCCTTAGAAGATTCTGGGCACGGGGGTGGCTCCTGATGCTGGTCACCATCCGGCCCCTGACCCGGCCCCTTCTTGGTCACACAGCTGGAGGACCCAGCCTCGTCCCAGAGCAAGGAGTCCCCAGTGCTGGGCCAGCTCCTGTCTGAGGAATCTCTGGCAGAGGAGCCTGCGCTGTGGCCCACAGGTGTCCAGGGCCCCCCTGAGTCCACCCCAGACTCATCTGCCTCGGAGAACCCCAGACACTGGAGCTCCTGCCCCTGGAAGGGGGGCTGTTCCATGTAGGGCTGGACGCTGACCCTGTCATCTGTGTCCTCCTCATCCTCGTCCTCAGCGCTGTCCTCCGATCCTGACTGGGGGGTGGCTGGGGCCCTGACTGGAGGGGCCGTCCTGACCCTGCTGGTCAGTTTCTTTCGGGGACAGAGGAATAACTCATCCAAGGACTCTGGTCCGCTGGGCTGAAAGGCTGCCACGGAGTGTCTGTATCCCGAAAAGTTCTGATGTGGGGAGGGGAGAGAAGGGCGACAACTCAGGCTTCCTTACCGCTGGAATTGGGGGTCCTGTTAGAACAGACCTGAGATACAGGTCCAAGTGTACGTCGCTTCTTTGGAAGGTGTCTCAGGAGACGAGTCAGTGAGTGGGCAACCCAGTGCTGGTTGGGCGCAGGCAGGCCCGTGACCAACCGCAGTGCCGTAAGGCAGCTGGACCCTGACCCTGCAGGGGGCCCAGGGTGCCGTTCTGCACAGGCACCTCGGGGCTACCCCACTGGGAGTCACCTGGGGTGCTTATCCACCAGCTCCCGCTGAGGGATTGTGCCGACGCCCTGCCCTGTGCGTGGATCCATCCTCTAAGCCCATCTGAGCACCCGCAACCCTCCGACCTCGCAGACTCTTCCTGGCCCCGGCTGGCCCTCAGTTTCTGAGGAAGTAAAGCGGCACCCCAGGCAGACCCTCTGTCAGGCTAGTCCTTGGTTCAAATGGTGAACTGAGTGTCAGAGCAGGTGAACTGAAGCGTCCCCTTTTGGGGCCACCCTCTCCCCCAGCCTTTGGCCGTCTCTTCTGGGTCCCAAGGCTGGGGCTCTGCTCTGGGCCTCTGACACATCCTTAGCAGGGATGATGGGACTTAACTAACAGGGACTTGGGGCATTGCTCCCTCCTGGACAGCCTTGCTGTTTTATTCAGAGCATGACTAATGACAGCAATTCAGGTACAAAGATAGGCGGGGGCCAGCCTGGGCCAGGCGGAGATGCTGCGGAAACTCCAGCCCACCCCGAGCATGCCCAGACGTGCCGTACCAGGGCCTTGGGTGTCTTCGCCCCGTGGAACCAGGGGTCGCCCTTCAGGTTCTTCCACATCACACCGCCTATGGCAACTACCAGCAAAAGTGGGGAGAGCGAAGGCAGCACCAGCACTGTCCAGTTGGCCCCTGGGAGGAAAACAACACTCTAAGTACAGACACAACAAGGGCGCCCACCTAGCAACGTGCAGGGCGCTCCAGAGCATCGTCTTGTTGGGTCCTTGTAAGAATATGCCCATCCTACAGATTGTGCAAACCAAGGCTCAGAGAGGCTGTGTAAGCGGCCCGAAGACACAGTGAGCATGGTGGAGCTGGGGTTTTCATCTGGGTGCATCTGCCTTGTACTGCTAACCACACATCAGACAGTTCCTCAGGGGAAAGTCCCCACTGCAGCACGACTTTGCACCCACCTGGGGCCTCCAGGGAGAGGCAGCTGGGCTCTGAGAAGCGGCTGTACTTGGGATTGGTGAAGGTGTAGATGGTTCTGGCGCTGAGGCAGTGGCGTCCGTGGGCAGAAGGGTGGAGCAGGATCTGGACCGGCTGGCCGTGTGCAGTGGCTGGAAACAGGGTCTGCTCGGTGGAAGGAAGCAGAGACGAGCAGAGCTTCTAAGCTCTCCGCTCTGTTCAGCTTACAGCCAGTACATGGTCAGCAGCCTAGGGGGAGAGGGGGCCCCGAACCTCCTTTTCTTTTCCTAGCTTTCAAGTGTTGAGGGCACACTTCCTGGCACTAAGCGGTTCCTTTTAGGCTGACAGGTGGGGGGTGAAAGCAGCCCACCGCTGAGGTCACTCCTGTGTGCTCCCTAACAGGAACTGTGGGTCCCCACTTCAAGCAGGACCGTCCTCAGGCTTCCAAGTGCATTGGGGGTGGAGGTCACTCAGCCTCAGAAAATGCTCCAGCGGCCCTGTCCAGCGCTGTAGTCAGTGGCCACAGGCAGTCAGCAAACCCTTCAAATGTAGCTGGTTCAAGCCAGGGATGGTGGCACGTGCCTGTCATCTCAGTACTTTGGGGGCTGAGGCAGAAGGATCACAAGATGTACCAGCCCAGGCTACTTAGAGACCTAGTGAGACACTGTCTCAAAATAAAAAAAAAATTAAAGGGGGGGTGCTGGGGATGCAGCTCAGTGTAAAAGCCTTGAGTCCAATCCCCTGGTGCCACAAAGGAAGGAAGGAAGGAAGGAAGGAAGGAAGGAAGGAAGAAAAGCTGGCCCAAATGGACACATGTTCCGAGTATGAAGTACCAGCTTCCAAAGACAAAGTGAAAAAGGAAATAAAACAGCTCAATAATTTTTATACTAATTTCTCAGCCGGGCATGGTGGTGCACACCTGTAATCCCAGCACTTGGGAGGCTGAGGCAGGAGGATCATTGAGAACCTGGGCTACAAAGTGAGCTCAAGGCCAGCATGAACTGTATCGCGAGACCCAGTCTCAAAAAAAGGACCAAAAAAAAAAAAATTCTTATATTAATTTCCCATTCAATGTTGAAATAACTGTTTAGGGGGCAGGGGTTATTTTGAGTCAGGGTCTCACTATGCAGTGCAGGCTGGTCTTGAACTTGCAGTACTCCTGCCTCAGTCTCCTCAGTGCTGGGGTAATGGGCCTGAGCCACTAAGTCCAGCAAAATGACAACGTTTTATTGGACGAAATAAAATCTGTTATTACAATTAAAGTCATTTGCTTCCTTCCACGTAATTTAGCATGGAATATTTAAAATTAACTAAGTGGCTCGTGTTATATTTCCATTGGGCAGCTCTGGTCTAGAATATTTGTGAGGTACTTTTTGTAAACTGTTTTTTAATTGACTGACAGACAGTGTGCATATCTATGGGGTACCATGTGATGTTTCAACAGTACTTGTGAGGTGCTAGAAGGCAGGAACTACCCTGGATTCAGGTCTATAGTCCCTGGGATCAGGGGTGTGAGTGTGGGTTTTTTTTTTTTTAATTTTAAAGAATAAAAGAAGGATAAGATAATAATGGGGGGGGGGCTTACCAAATTACAGACAAAGTGGTAGGAAATTATCAATGGTTATTGTTTTACATATTGTTATCTTCAAGATAGTTTCTCAGGAAAACAAATAGACAAATAATAGTGAGCTACAGACAAAAGAGGTAGGAGATTATCAATAGTTGTACTATACTTTGGTGTCTTCAAAGTGGCTTCTAAAGAAAATAAGTAGAGCTATACTTGAGTGACCTATTGAATAATCATTAACTATTCTCAATGGTTGTTGTAGGAAACACATAATAATAGACATGCATCCATTTAGGAAATAGCATAGGAACAATACAAACATTACAGAGTTATGGATAGATTAGTAGGAAAATATCAATGGCTGCTGTAATACATGGTGGTATCTTTGTTGGTTTTGTGAGAAAAACAAAAAGAACAGTAGCAGGGCCACCTGATTTGATAAACGGGAACCTTGTGGTGACCACAGACCTTCGTATTGTCTGTGGCTGCTTTGTCTTATGGCTGCAAAGGGCAGTCGTGACAGAGCCCTTGGGCCACAAGGCCAAAAACATTCACTCTCTGGCCCTGTGTGGGGGTTTTCCCAACCTAAGTTATGAATAAGTAGACACAGGTATACACACAAACGCGCACAGAAAATGGGCCTGCAATTGGATCCACACCAAAGAGCCAGGCGTGGCCATTTTCTCAGGTGCTTTCGCTTTCGTTCTTAGGACTCCTCTGTGCTTTCTGAACTTTCTGTAATGAATCTAATGACTTGGCAAGGTAGCCTGCTATGGCCATCACATTTCAACAGATATTGTTGAAAAAAGAAAAAAAAAAAAAAAAAAAGAAGGGGCTCTCCATAATTTCAAAAACCAGAAAACTGCAGGGCAGGGCATGCAGTTATGAATAGGGCAGGGTGCCACAGGCCATTTGCACCATATGCCCGAGGGGCAGGTGGGAAGGCTTTCCTGGAGGAGGTGTGCAGGGAGCAGAGGGAGGGTGAGGAGCATCCCCATAGGCAGAGGGGTGGGGGTGGGGCTTCCCACCTTGTTTCCAGCGCCCTCCTTCCAGAACTGCACCTCGTACTGCAGATCCAGGGCAGGTATGCAAGGCGGTAGCTGGTAGGTGGCATTGACACTCAGGACCTTCTCCCTCAGGGTGAGCGCCAGGACGGGCGGGCCCAGCTCCACTGGCAGAAATGGAACAGGACGTGTCAGCACCTGGGAGGGTGATCCGCCTCTGTCCCCCACCGGCACCCAGCCCAGGGAGCGATCTTGGAAAGCGAAAAGCCTCGCTTGATGCTCCCTGCATTTGTCAAACACTTCCGGCGAGCATAGCGCCTGCCGGCTACATGGAGGGAGGTATCACCAGTCCCACTTGAAAGAAGTGAAAACTGAGGCTTATAAGGCTGACACACCCCGGCTGAGCTAGCAGGTGGCCTCCTTTACTCGGGGATGACATCTCTACCCCCACCCGGTGCCCTCACACGCCGCTGCCTGTCCGCATCCTGCCCACCTGCATGCCCTTCCTGTTGCTGCTGTGACACAGGACTGCCACAGCACGAAGGTTCTGCACGGGTTCCAGGTCGCAAGTCCAGTGGGCCTCTGCCCTGGGCCTCCCACGTGGAGCCCCGGGTCCCACTCAGGTCACTGGGCTGAGGTTCCCGTCTTCTGGCTGCTGGGTAGTGGGTAGCCTCTCTCAGCCCCTCAAGGCACTGGCATCTCTCATCACGGTGCCCCTCAACTCCAAGTGCAACAGTGGAGTCCTCTTCAGCATCTCCCCGACCCCCTCTGGGCCCGATTCGTCTTTCTCCAGCTGCAGGAAGCTCTGCTTTTGACGTGCTGGGATTACACTGAGCCCATCTGAGACCCCCGGATACGCTCACTACTTTAAAGCCCAGAACCGTGATTAAGATTCCTTTTGCCACACAACACTGACATCCAACACACTGGCGGGTCCCAGAGGTCACAGCAGACTCTGTGAAGGGTCCTGGGCCAGCCATGATTTTTCCTCTGGCCCCTCAAATCATATCAAAGGTGAGACGGCAGCGCACACCGTAGTTCCAACACAGAGAGAGGGAAGGTTAAACGAACTCATTGGTCCAAAGTGGTTTCAAAATCCAGCCGAGTAAACTCCATTAGGTTTCAAGGCCCAGGAATACTTCGGGGCTCCTGAAGTTGCCCTTTGAATCAAACTTTCCTCTTAAAGGCGGTAGTATCTTCAGGAAAGTAGATACCAGATGCATCTTGCTAGCCGAAAAGACAAAGTCTATCAGCCTCTGATATCGAACTCTCATTGTCCCTGAAAGTCCATGTTTCTGTGGGTATAAAGTTCTTAAGAACTTTATGAGTCTCCTGTGTGTGTCAGGGCATTCACTCACACAATAAATCTCCTCCTATTGTATTTACATATATCCTGCTAGTTTAGTTTCTCTGGAAAACCCAGACTAATGCACTTTCCTCCATCTCTTCCATTTCTACTTATTTCTTAATAATCATCTGGCCGGGCACAGTGGCGCATGCCTGTAATCCCAGCACTCGGGAGGCTGAGGCAAGAGGATCATTGCGAGTTCGAGGGCAGCCTGGGCTACAAAGTGAGCTCAAGGCGAGCCTGAACTGCATAGCGAGACTCTGTCTCAAAAAAGGACACACACAAAAAAATCATCCAGTCTTCCATTCAGTCTCCTTCCTTTACATTTTTCTATTGATTTTTCCTCCATCCTCTCCATACTTTCTTCCTTCTTACCCATCCAGTATGTTATAACTTGTAGATGTCCCCTCAAAGCCTCATGCACTCATAGGTGGGGCTTTTCTTAACCACTTCTTTTTTTTTTTTTTTT